GCAGGAATTAATCAAGAACGGGCGTTTGGTACACTTGCCTTTATTGGTCAGTGCATTGGTTATAGGAGTTGGGAGGTCATATTGTGGCTCTACAGGACATTGGTCAGGTCACTTTTGAAATACTGCATGTAATTCTATAGGAAGGATGTTGTGAAACTTGAAAGGGTTCAGAAAAGATTTACAAGGATGTTGCCAGGTCTAGAGGGTTTGAGCTACAGGGAGAGGGGCTGAATAGGCTGCAGCTAGCATCGGAGGCTGAGGGATGACCTTATACAGGTTTATAAAATCATGAGGGGCATGGATAGGGTAAATAGACAAGGTCTATTCCCCAGGGTGGTGGAGTCCAAAACTAGAGGGCATAAGTTTAAGGTGAGAGGGTAAAGATTTAAAAGGGACCTACGGGGAAAATTTAAACACAAAGGGTGTTGTGTATATGGAATGAGCAGCCAGAGGAAGTGGTGGGGGCTGATACAATTACAACATTTAAAAGGCATCTGCATGGGTATATGACTAGGAAGTGTTTAGAGTGATATGGGCCAAATGATGGCAAATGGGACGAGATTAATTTAGGATATCTGGTTGGCATGGACGAGTTGGACCAAAGGGTCTGTTTCCGTGCTGTACATCTCTATGACTCTGACAGTCAGCATGGTTTTATTAAGGGGAGATCATGTCTGGCCAATTTGAATGAATTTTTGAAGAGGTGACCAGATGTGTGGATGTCAACAATCTTTTTGATGTAGTCTACGCGTAATTCAGCAAAGTTTTCAATAAGGTCCTGCATGGGAGACTGACAGCAAAGGTAAGAGCCAATGGGATCCAAGGAAATTTGGCAAATTTGATCCACAATTGGTTGAGAGACAGGAAGCAGAGGATGACAGGTGAGGCGTGTTTGTCCAATTGGAAGTCTGTGTCCAGTGGGATTCGACAGGGCTCAGTGTTAGGGCCCTTGCTGTTTGTGATTTTTATCAATTATTTAGACTTGAACATAGAAGAGTTGATCAGTAAGTTCACAATTGAAAATTAGTGGAGTGGTAAATAGTGAGAAAGATAGCTTTAATTAACAGGAGATATAAACAGATTGGTCAGATCAGCTGCTCAGTGGCAAATGGAATTCAATCCAGTTAAATGTGAGGTGTTGCACTTGGGCAGAACAAATAAGGCATGATAAATGGCAGGGCCCTGGGAAGCATTGAGGATCAGAGGATCTTGGTGTGAACGTTTACCGGGCTCTTAAGTGTCAGGACAGGTGGGTAAAGTAGTTAAGAAGTCATATGGTATGCTTGCCTTTTTAGTCAAGGCAGAGAGTTTAAGAGCAGGGAGGTTAAGCACAAACATTGGATAGGCCACAGTTCTATACAGTTCTGAATCCACAATATAAGGAGGATGTTATAGCACTCAAAAGGGTGCAGAGGAGATGTACCAGGATGTTGCCTGGACTGGAGAGTTTCAGTTAGAAAGAGAGATTGGACAGATTGGGATTGTTTTCCTTAGAGTGGAAGAGATTCAAAGGGGGCATGATTGAGATGTATAAAATTATGACAAGCATAGATAGGGTAGATAGGAAGAAAACTTTCCTCCTTGATGAAGTGAGATCAATGGCCAGGGGCAAAGATTTAACATAAGGGGCAGAAGGTTTAGAGATGGGAGAAAAAAAGATTTTTTCACCCAGAAGGCAGTGGGATTCTTGGAGTCACTGCCTGTAAGGGTGATAGAGGCAGAAACCCTCATAAAATTTAAGATGTATTCAGATGTGCACTTGTGATGCCAAGGCTGATAAGGCCATGGGCCAAGTGCTTAAAAGTGAGATTAGAATATTCAGGTGGTTGTTTTTTGACTGGTGTATGCATGATTAGCCAAAGGGCCTTTTTCTGAGCTGTAGATCTCGAAGTCTCTGTGACTCTGTAACTATGACCAACACCATGTACAATCATAATCAAACATCACTACTTCTTTTAATCCCACTTTCCTTGAAATAAATGACATGCCTTTCTAGTCTCTTTCTAAACCTGCATACTTACACCTTGTGATTTAGCTATCAGGACACCTAGATCTCAATGCAGCACACAAATTTCCAATCTTTCTCCATTTAAGTAATGTATTGCTTTACTACTTTTCCTGCAAAAGAAGATGAATTCAGTCTTTTCCCACATTATAGCCATTATTTTTGTCCACTCAGTTGAACTATTTAAATCCCTTTGTAGTCTCTTTATGTCCACCTCAAAATGTACTTTTCTAATTATCTTTGTGTCTTCAGGAAAATTAACAACTATACACTCAACCCTTTCATCCAAGTCATTTGTGTAGATTATAAACAGTTGAGTTGCAGCACTGATCCCTGTGGTACTCTACTGGTTACAGCTTGCCAATGCAAAAATAACCTACAAAGTCCCACTTTCTGATCCCGTTGATTTTGTGGGAATTCATTTCTTTAATAGGTCGCTGATCTCCATGTAAATTTTAACAAATTAGGGACTCAACTAGGATCTTGAAAAGCCAAGACAGGGATTTAAACAAACAAGATTTCACATTTACTTCTGTTGTATTCAGTAGAGATCAATATAGCTACCTTTCCGGAGAGAACAGACTTATCTCCTGGTGCAGTGAAATAAATAACAAAGATTAATTCCAGTGTCATGAGTCACTGACAAGGTTTTATTTTGGTCCTTATCTTTTGACAAGTTCTCTTAAGAATTTTGCCAACATTTGAAACAAAGTTTTTATCTTAAGACATTCTAATTGGTGTTTGTAGATTGATTCCAACCTTTTCCACTAGTCTCCACTGCACATCTACAATATGACTTGATTGGTTATACAATGGTATCCAATTATTATCTTCTTTATTTCCATTTTTTCCTTTAACCAAATAATGAAGCAATGTTAGGAATTCTGATTTGTCAGTTATTGCAACTGTGGCAATATCCTCTGTACATGATGTTTTTTAAGTAAAGGGAATTATACTTGGATCAGTAATTTACTGAATAAAGTAAACACCACAATCGGGGAGCATAATTACAATAATAGGTATACATGAACAATTGTCATTATAAATATAGGCAATGGAATTACAAAATGGAAATACAAAAATACAAATTAATGGACAAATTTGAAATGGTCTTCTGGTCAGAAATAAATATTCCAAAAACAAATGAGTAATATCGCAGGGAAGCTATGACCTGTCTATAATTTTGCTGTGTACCAGCTGATTTCCCTGCTCGCCCAAACTATGCTGGAATTTGCATAAATTTTGTCTCTTTTCGTCACAGCTTAATATGCTTTCTGAAGTCCAATGTATAATTCAAATACAAGATAAAGCTGTAACTGGTTAAAATAATCACGACTTTTGTTAATTACAGATTATTTTTATCCTCATACATTTTCACACACATCTCTATTTTAATGAAAATGTCAAAACAAATTTTACCTGAATAAAATTTTGCTAATGTGTTCTTTAGCTTTTCTTAAAAAAAAAAACACTGAAAGCTAATCAAATATATTTTGCTGGAGGATTCTAACGTCTGGATAGTTTCAATGCTACAAATGCATCTCAGGAAAATTGTGCACACTTCACAGGTACAGGCAATGGAACTCGGCTGAAGTAGAGTCACAGCTCAGGTCACAAAATATCAAACCAATTTTTTTTTTGAGAAAAACTAAAATCTTCACGTAAAAGCTTTAATGATGCAAAAAAACGTTGTAAAAGTAAACTGACATATTAAAAGTTGGCATGGTGAAATAAGTGAGTTGTGCAGTTATTCTCATTTTTTAAAAAACATAAGAAATTTCAATAACTTCATTTTTTATCCCTCAGTGCATTTTCAAGAAGCACATTCAGTGACTCAATTGATTTATCAACAAAGCGTGTTGCTGGAATTTGACATAAGGAAATTGTATGAAAAATGAAGACACGGGAATTCACAAAGAGAACATTTGACAGGGCATGGACCAAATTATATGACAACAAGAAGCAAAATTATTTGTCAAGAAATACCTCAGATACCAGCTATTTAGTGTAATACTGGACATAATTTCATGACTTAAGGGGAGATAACAGCAAATATGTCTTTATCTGAAATAGGCTAGAGAATGGAAGTTAATTACGCCAAGACATGCAGATATACTTCAGTTCCCATCTAAAAATAAGAAGTCAAATATCTGTCTTCATTTTACTATGATTTTATATTGGTCTAAACTTTGGTGCAGTGTCACGAATACCATAAATGCTGTATATGTTAGGTCATTGTACTTCCCAATTTTCCAGTCAAAGATTGATGCCATAATTTCTTGTAGATTTGATGACAATATGCCTCAACATGCACAGGGACAAAAGGCATGATCAATGAGTGGATCCCACCAGTACTTGTAATTTTCCTATTAATGAAATAATGCAATATCATCCTACTTCATTCGTATATTTTAAAATGGCAATTCATAAAAGATAGCACTCTAATTATTCCATTAGTAAGATTAAAAAAATAAAGATTTTTATTGCTGCATTGCTGTATGTCTGAGTATAAAAATGGGAGAATAAGTACAGGAGGAAAAAAAGAGCGAGATTGAGAGCAAAAGCGGAAAAGAATGTAAGAAAGAAAACAAGAATGAAAAGATAGGACAACACAAAAGAAAGTGAGAAAGAATGAGAGAATAGTGTGCGTGAGCAAAGTAGGCATAGATAGAAAACTGCCCTGTTCCTCCAAACTTTTAATCTTTTTATTAGTATTAAAAATAAGTGCTCATGTGGAAACTAGGAAAGGCAACAAATCACAGTGGGGTAGTCATGTCTCATCTGTTGAGGACAGCATTAAACTCAATATTAGGGAAAGATATCAAGCAAGGTCTTAAAGTGCTACATATTCCCTTTAAGGGTCTGACATTTTAATGGATAGTGCAACAAAATGCTTACCAGCATTGATGAATTTAATAGTAAGTAAATAAAAAGCAATACATACTAGCAGTTAACGCCAGAGAAGTTAATAATTTTGATGAATTTGTCATCTTACCTGCACAAAGACGTCCTTGGTGATAAGGACAAGAGAAGTCATCCAGCTCACAATATTTTCCAAACACTCTACCTAGATTGGTCTGGTAACATAAACATTTCCCACAGTTGCAGATCCCTCGATTGCTGCACACAGGCTGTTCTTTTTTCTGCCGACAATTTTCAATGAGGCATTGTTCTTTGCAGGAAGAATTAGCAACTCTGTCTTCACAGTGGCAAAGTCTACAGTCTGGGTCAAGCTCTTTATTGAAGCATTTACCAGCACTGTAACCTTTCTGTCCTTTGCACTGACATGCACAAGTGCTACTTATAGAAATAACAGTTGTTTCATTATATCCAACAGGCTTTAAAATGATGTCGTTGTCGCCTTCAAAACAATCTGTCATCCCAACTGTTATATTAAATAAAACCTAAACCAAAAATGAAAGTGAAAATTAGTAATCCATAGAAGAGAATTATTTTCTAGAAAATACTTTTGTAAATTTATGTTAAAAGAATTTGTTTTTGTTCTGTGCCTGTAGGACAGGGTTTCATAAGTCTGTTTGACAACAGAATCATTGGGCTGGATATGACATGCCCACGCATGGCATGTTTTTGGTGGGTGGGCACATAATATAGATGAGGTGGCTAGCCCACCACCTCCAAACTTACTCTCAGAATTGGTGGAGTGGAGTTGGTGTTGAGAGTGGATTCTAAAATCAATAGCCTGCTCACTACATACAAATAAATAATTAAAGGGTCAATTGAGCTTGTTCAAAGAGCTGATATTATGCTGCCTGGCCATAATAGGGTTGGCATGAGCAGCTAGATGGGAGTTGTTATCCCAAAAAAACAGGATTTATAAAATCAGCAGAATGGAACAGGGTAATAGCTTTTCTTTGCACACTGGGGGAGCTCCCATTTTCTTCGCAAAACCTACTTCCTAAAACCCTTCCTAACTTCCCAACAGCATCCCCCCCACCACTAATTTTCCCAAACTTCCCGCTCAATACTGTGGACTGACTGTAGGCCGGAATTCTTGTTTTGTTCAGGGAGAGAAACAGGATCAACTGGAGTCCTGAAGAAGAGTCATTCCGCACTCGAAACGTTAACTCTATTTTTCTTTCTCTACCAGACCCACTGAGTTTTTCTGTGTTTCAGAATTCCAGCACTCTCAGTATTTTGCTTTTGCCCTTTTTTTCTTGTTTGTGGGCTCGCCGGCAGTACCGGCGTCTCCCACAACAGAGCTGGTGGCGCTGCTGAGACTGTTGGAACTACCAATCAATCAAGTTGGTACAGATCATGTCGGCAGGGAGTTCGGGTGGCCATCTTTCTGGTTGGTTATCTCACTGCAACTTTCGTTGTGAAGGGAATAATCTCCCTCCAGGTAATAGCCAGCCTATTACATCCATAAAATAACATTTCGCACGCATTTCCTTACATGACTGAAATAAATAATGGAGCAATTCAATCTTTGATTATTTAAAATCATTGGATGGTAAAAATGAACTAAAACATAATTAAAATTAATTATAGCATTAATTTTTTTTTGAAAAAATGATGTGTTGGAGAGGCCTTGCTGTTACTCCATATAGTATTTGTTTATGCCACTCAGTTTTTAATAAAGAGATGAAATAGAATTACATACTGGCACAACACAGCACAGGACAGTTTAAATTCAATCTACATGGACTGTGAACATTATGAGCCCCCATCCACACTCTTCATCTTTTCTTTTCTTTTGTAAAACCACCACCAAAGCACCTGTGTCACTGATTTAAATTAACAAATTACTTGCGCTACCCACCAGGGGCAGTGCAACAATAACAGAATGGAAGGCGAGGGAAAGAGGGGGAGAACTAAATTAAAATGGAATTGGAACGAGAAATAATGCACTTCAATGCCTGTGGTGTCCATCTCTCTCTAAAGGCTTCGAGGGTGTTGGTGGACACCATGTGCTCTCTCTGTAAGGACATCCAGGTACAAACTGTAACCAAATGAGAGGGGCAAGCAGTCAGGAACTATGACACTCTCCATGGTCCACTGCCTGGACCTGTTAATGGATACATTAGGCAGGCCCAGGAGCATACCATGAGGAGAACCTCCAACTTTTCTGCCCCAAATCAGACACTCAGAGACCTGGACTGTGGGCTGAGGTACAATCAAAACAACAATAACAGATTTTCTCAAGAACAGAACAAATCATCTGATCTTATAAATATAACCATTGATTGCTTTCAAACTCACACCTTCAACTGGTTTCATCTTTAATTAACCTGTGCTATTTGCTTCAACTACTCCCTGTGGAAATTATTTCAGTTTGGCTTTGTTGGCCTGTTTCTTATGAAATAAAGAGGCATATCAAGTGATACCTGCCACAAAACACCAAATGTCTCAGTTTAAAAAGGTTGAGAAGCGCACACGCACCTGTTAAACTTCAGATTATCCTACATATGGAAAAACTACAAACTTGTAGTCATATAGAGACTTTCATAACCAAAGAATGTCCCAAAATGTCTCACAAATTAGCAAATAATTTTTACATGTAACTATTGTTGTAATGTATGCAAATGTCACAGCCACGTTTTACACAGCAATTTCTATGAAAAACTAATGAAATGATGGAGTAACTAATCCATTTAACTGGCATTAACTCAATTGGACAGGACATCAGAAGAATACCCCTGCTCTTCTTTCTATCATAAGATCGAACTTTTTTTTTTACATTCTTGTAAGATAGCAGAGCAGGCCTCCACGTAATATGCTAAAGTCAGCACCCCAGACACTGATTCACTTAAATCTACTTTCTTGTTTACAACTCAAACTACTAAGGCTTGATTTTCCATTCTAAAAAGTTAAAGCATGATGTCCAGTATGTTGAAGATTGTACTCTCTACCATGACCCAAGATCACACATGACTACCTGCTTTTTACCTCATGTTTATACAAATGAGATCTTGCACAAATGATTCAGAAGTCACATGGGCAGGAAGTTTTCATGCCTGGCGGGATCAGCTGGAGTCAAAAGTTCTGGCACCATATTGAAAGACCAACCTGGGCACCAGTTCACTCACTGCAAGCCATGTGCTTCACAGTGACCAGTGTCTGTGGCCCCTTGCCTCTTTTATGATATCGCAAAATAAGCAGAAGCCCAGCCCACGGTTTAGTGATGCCTCTTTACAGGTTCTGTCGGATGCTGTTCAGGAACCCTCCACTTTGGCGCCAGGAAGACCCCCACCCAATCAAAGTAACCAAGCCTGATCCCAGGTAACCACCATGGAGAATGCAATGGACTTCACCAGTGAACGTTGATACAGTGCAGGAAGAAAATGATCCACTGTGCTCTGCAATGGTAAGGGGTACCACCTTCTCTCTGACTGCTCACACTCACAATGGCATCACTCAGTCTAACTCTGCTCCAGCACAGGCTTGTCACAAACAAACAATCATAGCCTGCATGGTTCACCATTATATTCATCTTGTGCACTCAAGGGCTCAATGCCACCTCATGCTCTTAAAGTACAAACCCTTCTTGGGCACTGTGCATCCTACTCGCTTACCTGTGAGGGTTCACCAGCTTGCATGGCTTTGAATGCTCAGAAGGTTCTCCTGTACCCATTGCAGTTACATTCAACCATTCTTGTAATCTCACTGAAGGAGAAGCTCACCTGCAGCCCCTCTAAGAGGGCCAAGGCTGGCAGAGTGGTACTCCACAAAGTTCTCACCCCTTTCAAGGAGCAGACAGTTCAGTTTGGTGGGGAAGACTAACACTGGTGATGGGGAGACAGGAATGTACTAGTAGCTCTGTAAGCAACATCACGGCTGCTCTTTTTGTATGCACAGGAAGGTAAAACACATCGGTCTGCATCATGTATTATGTATCTTCATCAACATATCTTTGTCTTCTCTTCTACTAGCACTAATGCCAGATAGGAGCCACAACCTTTCCCCCAACCCCTGCCATCAGCACCATCATCTCAGATGGTGAAAACTCTGGCACCCATGGGGGCACTGGCCAAGCATTCACCTATACCCTCTGCCAGCACAAAGACAATGGCCTTGATGGGTGCATTCGCTCAAGTAAACTTGTGGTCACCATCTGGTGGGCATATCACTGCAGCCAGTGAAGCAAGAAATTCTCGGGGTGTCTGATGCTCAGAGGACTGCCAGAGACTGGGAACGTGCTCAGTCCCGTGGAGGAGAAATGTTTCTGTGCTTGGCTTTAATTGACATGTTCAACCTGCAAAGAAAGCCAGAGGAGCGACAGACAAGTTTCCCAGAGATCCTTAGCAGACTGAAACAACCAACGCAGGAATCTGTCCATTGTCTGCCTGCTGTGCAGGCTTCGAAAGACATCACATAGACAGCTGCACGGAAAAGAGTGACAAACACCTTACTCAGTGCCTTCCAGATATGAGCTGGAACCTGCATGCCACAACTCCAGCCATGGAAACTCAGCATCAATGGCAAAGCAAGAGGGAGACAAGGCACCTCATCCACACTTCACACATACACAGTAGAGAAGGAGGAGGAGTGACAGACAGGTACCTCAGGACAGTCTTGCCCCTGCCCTGCCCCTCTACCTTCCCAATGCCTGCAGCAGCTAAGCTGAGAGAGACCGAAATCGCTCCTGTGCGGAGATTCTGAACAGACCAGCACCGTCAAGGCCCAGATGTGTCAGAGACACCTACCAACATCTTCAAAGACACCAGTCAGCAGGCTCCCTCCAGACCAGCTGTGGAAACAAGAGAGAGCGAGACAGAGACAGACAGAAACAACAGCTTTATGAAAAAAATATTTATAAATGAAAACAGAAAACATACACAAAATGCTCCTGGCCAACTCAGTCACACTGGAAGTGGATCACTATGACATTGCCTCTGGACTCTATGCCTCAGTGGGATACTGTCCTGTCTTCATCATCTCTCCGATTGTTATTCCAGTTCAGTTCAAGATCTTCAACCTCACCTTCCTTCTCAGAGGTTTCCTCTCACTCCTGCATCTGCTCCTCTGCCAACACATATTCCTTTGGCCCCTGAGACTGTGTTTTGGGTGTAGCACACCGCTATGATCTCGAGCACTGTTTCAGGTACACTGACCAGCATCGGAATCTCATTTCTAGGAAGCCTACGGCCTGCTCCATAATGGCCGTCATGGAGGCATGTGCAGCATTGTACCTCTCCCTGGCATCGGCCTGATGATTTCGGAGATATATCGTCAGTCAGGTTTGGAGGGGAGTATCCCTTGTCATCCAGCAACCCTCTACCAAAGGCCCTGTGAAAGTTGCTGGTGACTGGCAGAGGCGCAGGGTTGATGGCAGCTCCCCGGAATCTGGCACAACATTATCTTGCTGCTGTGCGCATTAGGGAAGTGGAATTCTTTAGAATTGACAAAGATTGCTGGTTGATGAGAAGGCATTCCAGTTGCTACG